CATGTCTAAGTGATGGCACTTCTGATGGCACAACACACACACACACATGTTCACGGAGCTTTTTAGGTGAAACTTGAATGTGCTTAGAATAAAATGAACATGAAATGACAACAATTTTGCTTACTATTTACTTTTGAGTGATCCACTCCGTATTTCGCTTTGAGGATCCGCGCTTAGCCTTATCAAATGTGTAGGCAACAGATAGATATCGGTGAACTGAGCGGTACAGACTGGCACACACCCCGTCTACGGATATTTTTTAGTCTTTTTGTTCCAGCGGGCGGGCGGGAGGGGGCGGATTCAATAAGCCCGATGAAAACTTGACTCGTGTTCCGAACATCACCGCCGATTTTTTCCTATTACACACCTTAATGTGATCAACAGCAGACGAGGAAAGTCTCATAGTTTCGAGGATGTTCTGACTTGGAGTGGTGAATAACATTAGGCCCCGCTAGGTGTGGTATTGAACCGGTCATCAGCAGAGCTGCCTACCACCGAAGTTGGGTGGTGTTGGCGGAGCTCGAACCTTAGACCGTAGGATTCGATCCGGTGATAGTGACGTAACCACTGCACCATCACCACCATCATCACCCACAATCGTGGTTTCAGTGAAGAAATCAATAATCTTGTGTGTGTGTGTGTGTGTGTGTGAGTGGATAACAACCTAACTGGCGGTTCTCGTACTACGCAATCTGAAGGTGCACCCTGAAGCGCACAGCTTTGTTTGCCACAGAATTGTACTAGTGGCCCATGTGGAGCAGGAATTACATCTGTGTATCGTGCGTGCTTGTGGCCTATCCAACGGACAAGGCGTTTTAAACTCTTTGACACCCGTTCGATCTGGTCCGTCCGTGCAGTTTCTGATTAGTTGTTTCCACGGCTCCTCTGTTGATCTCCATGCGGTTTGTTCTATCAAAAAATGGGAAGCTCCAAATCAGGTACAATGAGCGCTAGGCATGAGTAACATGTGTCTGAACCAGGACACAAACTTGAACAGAGTGAATTATTGACTACCGAAAACCTCCAGTTGACAAGCGTTCGCCACACACACACACACACACACACACACACAAACTCAAGTTCTCGTGGCCGTCTAACTGATCTAACCACAATACGCTAATATAGATATGCTCGTTATAATAATAGAAAAAGCAATAATATTTTGCATTCTAATTATTAGCCACCCAATCAGTCAGTCTTTCGGAAAGGACTTACAGGCTAATCGTGACCTAGTTCTACGACGAGCCACCGGACTGATAGTCCAAATAGCCAGCCCCCCCTCCCCCCAGATGTCTCACTCCTTAGTGAAACGTCACATCAGCATCAAAGATGTTTTAGCCGAGCATCATTAACAGTAAAGATATCTATGTATTCATAATGATTATACTGATATTTGCTCATCATCCTTCACACTCCATCTTCACTTCCAATCTTCAGTTCATTCAGTCACCCATAAACTCAGGAAATGCTAAACTCAAGTTTCGCTCTTGTGAGCCCTCATCAGCAGTGCATATCCAATGCTTAGTCCGATGATTGAACTCTGGACCCATTGCACCTGTTTGCCGACCACTGTGCCGACCACACTAGGCCATATTGGAGCTGACCAAAATTATCCATCGAAGTCTGACCATAAGTATTCTTCAAGTCCAGTCAGTCAGTTAATTTTGGGCCCAATATAAACAAATTAATACCACTTAGGGATACCAATAAATTCACAAATAGCTGTGATTTGAATATGAATAATAACTGTAGTGCTGGCGTTGTGAGAGACTATTTACACTCGTGAGTAGTTTACAGGCATCAATAAGTGGTTATTGGATTCCTACGGGATTCGCAAGTGAACTGAAGCTTTCAATTTCATAACTACAGATAATGCACATCTATCGCCGGATCGTGTCATCAGTTATCCTGTGTGCTTGTGGGAATTATGAGGACCTGTTTCAGATGAGGCGTTTTGTTGTATGAGCTCCAGTTTATCGATATCCTTAGCGTTGTTCACAATGAACGACTTTCCTCATCCAGGCACTATCTTACAACAATAGCAGTGTGTTGGGGTCGCAACAGCCATTGTCTGGCCACGCTGAGAGAGATATGAATGGAATGAGCTGAGGCTACTTAAGAGAATTTACCTATAAATGGGGACTGTAACAAATCATAGGGATGGGAACGAATAGAGAGTGAATTGCACCTCGAGTGTACTGATCACATTCTGTCGTGTTGGATTGAGTGGATGATGAGCAAACGGGATTGGGGAATACATTAGTTCAAAAGCTAATGAGGTCGCATCATCTTGGTACAAAAACAATTCAAAGTTTCCTCCACAGGACGCACCTGTTGGGCCCCAAAACAGTCAGAATCATCATCATCATCATCATCATCATCATCATCATCAAGTCTCCCTATCGCTGTCCCACTATGACCTCCACGTTCGTTGGATTTTTTTCTCTGTACCGAATTTGTGAATGTGTGTGTCTGTGTGTGTGTGTATTTATATCATATATCTTTAGTTAAACGGGCGCATGTGTTCGTGTGGGATTTTGATTTACACCATCCCCCCTCCCGTCCATCTCGTCTTCGAAGCAAGCACCCTATCCTGATGAATTCACCAGGTTTAAATCACGTGTTATTAGAGCAGTTGCCATGACAACTAAACACGAATGTATGTGTAGTGGGTATAGCCGGAGTGATACTGCCTTCCGGTGACTAACCCCTCAACCTCACGTGTTTATCCCTCAGCCCCATAGCCTATCACAGTCCCGATGGCCCATTGTCGCTAAGATTGTGACGAACATTGAATATGTCTGCAGTCTACATCGTCCGTGTTCCGTAGTATCTCGCGGACCGCACAGCTTGCCTATTCCCAGACGTTCGGGGAAGCATATGTAGTTACACTGCTGACTAACTGCATCCATCGATGGCATGCAAGATTGGGTACTGCGTGACCTGCCCCAATGAGGTATTGTAGTGCTTTCTTCAATCACAAAGGATATGTGCCACCCAGTTCACCGTCATCGTCCGCAAAATGCGATCAAGGAATAGGCACTTTTGGTGTCAGGTGCAATATTACCAGCCTGACACTCAGAATCCCGTGTTTTCCTCATCACATAAAGGAATAACTGGTTTCACACGTCATCACGTCATCACTACAAACAAGGTTGAATAAAATTCGAGCATGCACCAGACCTTGATATCCCTCTCCCCCCCCACCCCCGCGCACACACACACACACACACACACACACACAGGTTCGCTTTTCTTGCACCATATAACCAGATTGTCGAACCGAGTATCTTCATGGTCAAATTCACGTTGAGGTCATCATTTGCGCTTATATACGTATCAAGGTCACCCGGGTGACTCATTCGGCCGATGTACACGATCACCGCGAATGCCTTTTTGTAACCAGTGTCCTCTACCACAGTTCGATAAAACATTGGTGCTTGTGATGATGATGATGATAATAATAATAATAATAATAATGAGGTTGGTCTCAGTGGTGCAATCTACGAACGCCATTTCTGGTCTGGAGACAAAGTAGAATTAAGAGAAACAGAGTGATACACTCGTAAACAAGGTGAGCGAATGGGTTTAAATAAAAAACAAAGCGAATCGAACAGTGCATCGCTGTTTGTATCACAAAAGCTCTAAACTGGTGAATGTTAGTGTTTAAGAAGTTTCAAAAAGACACCGAGAGGGATGGAACTGTTACATACTGGTATAGCCCTTCCTGCCCTATTCTGTCTGTCTGTCTATCCGTCCACCGACAGTACGTGATGTATTCCCGTTCTACCGCTTAGATCATTTGAGTGTGTGATTTCTGACTCAATGTCCACTGATTTAAACAACCGTTGCGTGGACTCTGTCGTTTTATAAAGATCTACCATTTGCGGAGACAACACTGGAGTAAACATGAAAAAATCAACCTTTAAATACCCGTTTTTTCCACGACATTATCCCTGAACCCCATTGGCTGTTTCCCAAATTATGCTCGAGCCACGTTGAGTTGTCTTTGAACTCACGCCCCTGGACCGGGAGTCAAGACGTGTGCCATGTGCCACGTGCTCAAACAAGGTTGAATGTCCTTCTTATTTGGATTTTAATGCTCAGCTTTAAAATGTACAGTGAGCCTCTGTTCGAAGATGCCAGTCTCACGTGCTGAAACTCAGGCAGTGAGCTTCCATCCACGTGATCAGTTCATGTCTGCCTAAGGAATATAGTCTTCCGATTTCGGACAGCCCCGCTAACCATGTTTGACAACTGTGCAGTGTCCCAATGGTGTCAGTGGTTTGATACTACCACACGTACGTAGCTAGAACACACATTCTCATTTTGAAATGTCTAACTGGAATACAAAGCGAACTGTTGCGTTTTCAGTATGCTACTACTCTAAGGAAGTCAGTGAATCGATTCGTAACCGTTACTACTGTTCGGTACTGTTTAACCGGGCTCACTGGGCTATTCTTGAAACATCTCACCGCGGTCTGTGTAGTAATCAGTGCGTAGATGCACACGCACACACACACACACACACATCGATGCACGGATCGGAGAAATAGATTGGATGCATTTGTGCACCGTACTTTCAAACTACGCATTAACTACTGATTACACCTTTAATAGCAGAAACTGACATTCCCATTCCTTAAAATAAGACTGTTGCTGTATCTCTAGATTAGTGACCATAGTGTACATTCACATGTACGCGTGAAAATATCTGCAAGCTGCAATTGCCGTCTAAGTTTTCATAAAAATAGCTAATGATTCATTCAAATGCCATACAACCAAATCCAGAAAATATTCGTAGTGGACGCGAGAGCTCGGAATCTTTGTCCTTTAATGTTGGACTTTTTACCGTTTCCATGTAGGTTGAATCTAACTACCACTTACCACCAAGCCAGGAACTCACTCTGATTATAGGTGTCAATTCGTTCCTAGGCCGTTTCTATTGAACCGAAAGAGGCGAGGAAACAAATGGATGACATAAGACAGTGTTACGTAATATGCTTTTCGGTTGGATGCGCAGGATTGATCCGGTTAGTTGGCTCGTCGGTACAATGGTTGAGTGGTTGAGTGAGGCTGAAAACGTTTGGACTGTCAAGGTGGTGAGTGATGTTAGTATGGGAGTTAGTATGGGAATTGTGGCAAATCGCTCCCATTAGCGAGATCTGATGTTATCAATGGAGTAATTTTCCCATATACATCCGAGCCTCATTTTCTTTCCGTGTGTGTTAAAAAATCGCATAAGAATTGCTTACTTCTCGTTCAATTTTATTCATAGCTGGATTGTTCTGTGAATCGGACCAAGAATTCATTTACATCCCACATTTGATGTTCAAGCAAAAGGCGTACAAACTTAAAATAGCCGATGCTTTGATTTCCAACAATGGTCCAGCGAAATAAAACAGCCTAACTGGAGAGAGAGAGAAGTCGAGTGAGTAGTCTGTGTACCCGGGGATCACGGAACTAATTGATTTCGAGGTGGCACAGAGATGCACTCAACTGCTCTAACCTTGTACACCGGTGCAAACTCTAGAATGATATATTTTTAGATGTAATGCGCGATGATGTTTGTTACCTAGCCTGGTTACGAAACGTCCACAAACAACACTTCTAACACAACAATGATATTTCTGTTCCAAATAAATTAATCTTTCAGTTCTTTACAGTCGAAAACACTCTCCACGTGACTGAATCGATGTATTTGAGATCATATAGTGATCACCCTTCAGATTGAGCATAAATTAATGTAGTGTGCAAGTTCTTTAAGTAGTTTGGGGTCTTTCGTTTGTTACAACCTCACGTGACTGTTTGTTTTGCCTTGTTTCTGGCCCTGCTATAAATGCGGCATCTGAAATTGAAATCAATACGAACAATAACTGACCAAAACGAGCATATTATAGACTGGACAAACTAGGTCGATCAATCTGGGCTGTGCTAATATCGGCCCTTTAAGCCTGCCAGACCTCTGACTCATTCACTAACGTTTGTGCTGATATATACATACCGGAACTCGGACAATGCGCTGCAACTCGACAGGTTGACCATATCTCTGTCGTATCCTGATTGGCTGTTGGTTGACGGAGACTGGGCCCTGGGCCTGATTTCTCCGAGCGCAATGTGTCATTGGGCTCTGATCTCACCATACCAAACTGGTTCACGGATTACGTAAGCACAGCTATCGACGCAACGTACTCGTAGTCCGTCACTTGAACAGACCCAGTGACTTAGTAGTTGTGCTCCACAACACACACAGTGGCGGGATAGCTTAATTTGATGCAAGAGCATCTTAAATTGACTCTGGGAAAGCTTGAATTGGATAAATTGTAGGTGTGTGCGCTCGCCCACCTGTGGAAGTTTCGATGGCCATCAAGAAAGGGGACAGCCCCCACAGTATTTCAGCTCCGAGTTTTTCCGGTTAGTTGTTTAATTAAATTCACGTCACCGAAACTAAATTAGGTTTTGGGCTTCATCACACGTTTTGATTGTGCGATCCCGCATTTTCTGACCTGCCTGAGAATCCTAATCAGTTCCAGTTTATCAGCGCTGACTGCAGTTTATCGTGTAAGTGAGCACCGTCGTGTGACCGGCTGGCGGTTGGACCACCACGGAAGGTTTTGTTTTGTCTAGGTTAGTCGGATCCCGCGGATTCCGGTGACTCGCCTCAGACGCACCTCATTGATGAATACCATAAATCTGTTATCCGCATCATAACCAGTTGGGTCCAATCAGTCGGTCGATCAACCAGCCGCCAACTGTAGTTGCGTGTACACACACATACACGCGCACGTGCATCTTTGCTGAATCCAGGGTCGTGTTCGTGTGTGTGTGGTCGTATTCTTATGGGTTCGACAGTCAAGTGACCGAGTGGTACTTTTGTGCAACTCATTCGGCATTGTGTACCGGATCGTGAGCGACCGATCAGTCAATCATTCGTGTTGCATATACCCGGTGGTGGTTCGAACTCGATAAAAAGAAAACCGGTTTGTATAAACCTCAAACGCCATTTCCGGAATCGGATGTGTGTGCGTGCGTGCGTGTGTCTGCGTGCTACGCGCACACACATAATGGTAGCCGGAAGTGATCAATGCAACGACCTAATTGTCCCCGTGGATCACTTCACGCGACCCATGGTAGTCAAGCAAAGTGTACGAGAGAGAGAGAGTGGAGTAACGGCTTTAGTTAGAGAATCTGCTCGTAATAATACTAATAATAATAACAGTAATAATAAGCTGTTACTTCTTTTCGCTAAGTCCAACTTTCCATTTAAGGCATCCCGCTATCGATTCTATGTGTCTTGTAACTACGTGGATAGTTCACTGTGCCCTACACTGATGGGTTTAGTCAAATTAACAGAGTCTGATGACAGTTAAAATTCAAATCTATTCTGCCCTCTCTCACACACGCACGGAACTTGAGCGATTTCGCTTGAATGTGTGGTATATCACAAAAATCCACTCACTATTGACATGCAAATACCTTACTCCGTTCGATAACCTGTCCATCTATCGGACAAGCTCATTGGTTCCATAGGCTTGTCGTTGTGTTATATATCCACGAAACAATGCCGGGAAGAGGAGGGTTGTGTATTATGAAAAACGGTATCACCTTAGGTTGAAAAAGGAGTATAACTAGGGTTGCATTCAAATGCGATGGAAATGTTTTGTGATAATCCGAAAAGAGCACTGTATAGCTGTTTCGTCTTGTTTGGGACTCGTCAGCAGTGCATACGTTTTGTGTCCCTTTCAGGACTCGGACCGCCAAATGAGTGAAACCAGCACCAAGACCACCAAGAGTGTCTAGTGCCTCTGAACAATCGAATGGGCCAATCCAAGCTTGATACTCTAAAATATACATAGGAGGTGAATTCAACTTTCAAGAAAAAGATAGCAGTGGGTTGAACTCCACCGGAGCAACACAAATAAACGGGTTCTAACCAGGAACTCAACTCACACCTGTGGTCTCCTGAAGCAATTCGGTTTATATCTGATACAGATCGCCTGTAGGAAAGCTGACTGCCTGGTAAACACGGAGATTCCTCATAAAAATCGTCATGCATTCAACGTGGAAGCAAGTGAATTACGAGTTGGTTGCCACCTCAGTTAGATAAATAAATAAATGTCTTTTTACTTCCCTTCTTATTTATTGCATATACAAATGTACAGTCAACATTCAGGAAGGGGGGCCGCGACCATACAAAGGCTGCCTGAGAAGACGGGCAGCGGTGGAGCAGTTCGAACCCGGGACTGCCGGGTCACAAGTTGGTGACCTAACCACTTGGCCACTACCGCCAAAAAATTCTTCAGTTATCATTGATTACAGTAGTTATGCAATCGATCACCTGGATCCAGCAGAACTGAAGTACAACGTTCCGGTAAATCCTTCATCCAGCAAATGACCGAATCTAGTGGCATGTATGGTCTCAGTCATCGCAACCACCCACGGTCCGCTGATAACTCGGAATCACCAATCCCAGTGCAATCAGATACCGCGGCAAATACCTCACCGGATTTGCGATTTACTGTTTTAAAATCTATGCAATTATTTCCCTTCGACAGACGGTAAAGAAGCGTTATAGACTGCCAGCGCATTGTTTTTTTCACATGTTCGAATCCCGCTAGTCCTATTGTACTCTCCCACGCTTATTGATTGACAAACTTCGTTCGACCACGGACTCTCCTTCCTGAATATAAATTACAGATTTGTTTTATATCAATCTAATGGGATTTAATAAAGAGTTACAATTATTCCTCTAACGTTTTTGCTAGAGATTGACTATACGATGTGGTTACTTGCATGGAGCTGTTTACTGCGTTTGCAATTTCCAGGAAAACTGCGCATGTGAGCGGTTTTCAGCGATCGATATACTCAAGAGCGAAATGTAATCCAAAGAAGTCATGTGATTATTAGAATACAGCAGTTAGTTAAATCAAAGATAACTGCCGTATGGGAACTTGACTTGAAACTTCGGCCACGTGTCCGCATAATTTTGACACGCAATGTGTTTATTTCTTTCGGCGAGAGGGAGATGCCGGGATCCGTTACCATCGGTCAACTTTTCTCTCCGTGGTCGATTGAGTTTCAAATGCAAAAGCGGTCCTCCCCCCATGTGGAGTAGAAACACACTGTCCAGTTGGGCTTTTGGTTTCACCGTCACTGTTCTTTAAACGGGGTTTCACTGACAAGCCCATACCTTTCCCTGGTCTCTGAAGTTTTCTCACCATTTAAGACATTTCCACGCTCGTCAACTCTATGGTCGACCACACCAAATGGGGATTACACACGACGTGTACGTACACTCACTCGAAAATCGAAGTAGACGTGTGAACACGATCGAGGATGTGCGCGTTTGTACGACTGCGATCAGATCATATTACTTTTTGTCCGGATGTTTTGTTGTACTGAGTCCTTCTCAAATCACGTGACCGACGACCTATTCGGGCGGAGCGGTTAAAGCTAATGGACATGCAACCGTTGACAGATGACACCCAGTAGAAAATATCTCACAACTACGGACAGCATATCCCTATAGATTTGAGACATGTACTTTCGAGGTTGTGGCACTTCATGACCGCAAAAATGTACTTATTTTATCAGTTCCTCTGAAGCTATGGATCCATTCATTCTATTCACAAAACTTTGTAGTGGACCACATGGTTCCTTTTGCAGCGAACATGGAGAGATTAGCTCAGAAATGATGCACTGATGGACGACGAATTCTGTGATCGAAATCTGCTTGAATGGATAATTCAGAGAAAAGTTTTGATTCGTTGATAACCAAGAGGTTTAAACCATTTCCCCTTATTGGATGCCTACTTACACTGAAAAGTACTGTGGTGTGTGATAACTCATTATCGTCTTTGGCATCGTTTTTACTCAGTCGTTCTTGTAGGCAAAAACGGTTAGAGGTCACGAGTTCGAATCCAACCCCGGCTTTGTGTCCCATGGTAGCCATTTGACTGACCGCTTCCGCTTTTTCCAGATTAATTACACAATTATCTAACCCATAAAAGAATATAAATCATTGATTTGAATATCATCGATATTGCTGTGTGATCTTTTCTATCGTCCCCGTGTGTTCCAATTCTTTCAGACTGATATCACCCGCTTGATTCAAGCTCTCTCGGAACAGGCCAGACGTGGAGCGGAAATGGTTCAAGAACTGAAAGGCGCAGAAAATCGTCTCAAGGTCAGTGAAATTCGTATGTGACCAGAATTTTCGAATTTGAATTTATTGATATCCGATTGATTCTGTGTTTTATTCCCCAAGGGTGGTAAAAAGCACTTCACTCGATTGCCGGTCAATCATTCAAAACTAGCCTATATTCAATTTACAAGTTTCGATGCAAGAACAGTTAAATTTTCCTCATTCTCGGGAAAATGAGCAAACCCGTTTTCATTAAAAGTTTGTCGAATAAATTTGCTACAAAGGTTTTAAAAAAAGTCCTCTTGCTGAGGGAACATTGCCACCACGCAACGAAAGTCGGGGGGAGTCCAGAAGTGAATAATTTCCACAGCAGACGATCGTACCGAACGCGGCCAAAAACCTTGGAAGTGTCCAGTGAGGCCGAATCGGCTACCCACGTGGCTATCAAGTGTAGTTGATCCGGGGTGCAGGACGACGGACAGTAGGTCACTGGTGGAACGACAACAGCTAAATCCATATTGATAGTCATTCAGTGAACTTTCTCGTTTGCGGAACGTAGGCAGCTGGTTGTAGATCACGGTTTCAAAAATATTCGAGCTTACAAGAAGTAGGACGATAGAGTTATTGGGATCGGAACGGTTACCACGCTTTCTTAGTGGGAATTGTATTGTATTGTATTGTGTATAACTTTTGCAAGCACTGGAGCTCACATTTCAGTTAAAAAATCATACACGCTAACCGTCACAATGTACATAATCAACGGGGAGAAAATTTTTCGCTCGCATAGAGACATTCATAATCTAAGGTTAAGACAAAGTTCACTCATTGTTCGCTCTTTGTTTGTGAGTAGACGAGCAAGATACGGTATGGGTGAATTGCGGTATGCATTAATTCGAGATGAAATTTGGCGGAATTGGGAGCGTGTTGAATGATGGGAATGACAGTGTCAGTTCTGCATACAATGGGTGGTCCGGATCTGTGAGAATCCTCTCGGCAAATTTCACACAGGAAGTTACGTGATACTCGGAAAGCTTTACGGCTAATTTATTCACAGGAATGGAAGAGACACGACTAATTATGGTTAGACCGCGTCGTAAGACTTTGAAGTCCTGTTTGAGTAAACCAGGAAAAATAACCGGGGAACAGTAGAGTAAGATGGGGGGAAACACACCGATAAACAAAGATCAAGAACAAGAAGAAGAAAACGGTCGTGTGAAATAGGAGCTAACTCCGGGCCACATAATTTCAAGACGATCGATGGAACAATGTTTGAACAGAGTGGTCTACAAACATTCAAACCACGAAGAGTTTGGCGGATAGTTCTGGTCGTCACGTTTGGTAGAAATGAGTGGCTAGATGAATGGGAGGAGGGTTGAATAACAGAGTGAATAGCTAAGGC